AAACAGAAAACGCGTTTCACGCCACGGGCCACGGGCCAGGGGCTGGCTTGGGAAAGCCTCGACTGGTTGCACTTGAGTCCGGAGCTTCTTAACATTTATATATGTATTTATGAAAACGTCAAGAGGCCAGTCGATGTCGATTCACCGATAATCATATGCTGCCCTGGTCAGCATATCTCTCCCCCCCACCCCTCCACTGCTTCTAATGTCAGCCCAGAAATACATAAAACATTAGTTTTCATAGAATAAACATTTGGCGCGTATGCAGTTGCATTCATTGGTGTTTGAGTACTCGTAGATCTCTCTCTCTCTCTCTCTCTCTCTCTCTGTCAGTCGCCTCGAATGTGTAGCAATAAAATTCTGAATTATTGGGGGAATTCAGATGGATTGAACGAGGCAGGAAATTGCTGATGCTGCTGCTGGTGATGCTTGGGAACTTCCAAGTTGCTGGGATTGATATAAGTAGCCTCCGAATATTGGTTTATAGTCGCTCAAAGCTGGCTGCAAAAGTAGGCAACGGAAATGGAAACCCTCCTCCTACCCCACAATTGAAGAACCTTTTTGGGTAATAGTTGCCTGCCGGATTAGATCTGCATTATGCGAGAGCTAATGCACGCCTCAGGGGCAGCTGCATCTCGTGTTGGGTAGATCAAACGCTCGCTTGTCACGTGCCTCACGTGGCACGCCCCCAGCCTGATTAAATTAGCCAGTAAGTACACGAGTACACAGCCAGTATCGACAGTCAGAGCTAGCTATGAGGTAGGGAAATAAAACCCAGTTACGCGTAATTGCCCGTTTCGGATTTCTCATTTCGAAGCTTGACAGAGGCGCAGGCGCAGCAGCTGAAATGTGTGAGACATGCCCCCGTCTCTCCTCTCCCCGTCTCACCCCGCTCTCCATGGATTGCATTGCACAAGGAGCACAAAACTCTGTTACAAATGTCAGACGACCTTACGCATTACGGGTCTGATGTTCGCCGCCAAATGTCAGTCAGAGTCACAGTCGAAGTCGAAGTCTCGAAGTCTTAGCTGAGCCGCTGCTGAGTGAGAGAGAGCAAATTAATTCATTTTCAACACCTATTTTGACAGTTCATAAAATACATTTGTCATATCGGTCAGAGACAGCGACTACTGCCACAGCGGGGCTGCCTGCCCTGCCCTCTACTACGGCTCTCAGGCTGGTCAAGATTTATGGTGCCTCATTGAAAATGCAATTCAGGAAAAGAGAGAGAGAGACTACAAAAGCCAGAGTCCGAGTCCGATTTCGATTCCGACTCCGACTCCCTGCCACATCAAATTTGTCCCTTGGTTTTTTTTTTGGGATTTTCGTTTCGTTTTGTTTTTCGTTTTGTGAGAAGCGGCAGGGCAGGGCAGGGCAGAGTGGTGGCAGAGAGCCCTCGGGCAGCGGCCGGGCAGGCAGGCCCCAAAGCGAGTTGCAAAAATCTTAACAAAGTTATTTTAGCAAACGGTACGACAAAAAATGTCATGTCCTTAAACATTGCAACAGACCAGAGCTGCACAGCTCCACTCGTTGCGTCCCCAAAGCTGAACCGAACTGAGCTTTGGTCCAGTGCTCTGCAATCGATATGCGTGCAGATGCTCCACTTTGATCAGGTCATCAGCGACACATCGTTCATCATTCCAAGCGGACGGTGCGCAGGAATGCGGCAGGGACAGAAGCAGCCGAAGCAGCAGCAGCATCAGCAGGAGGAGCTATGCATGACCAGTAGCCAGGTTCAAGACAATGGGCAAAAGCCATGAAAGGAACGCTTTTCAAGTTTTACGCCAAAGACCCAATGTCTGGGCCGGGTTTGGGTTTGGGTTTTGGGTTTTCGTTGTACTGAAGATGAAGCTAAAGCGAAACTGAGGCTGTGCCTCTGGCTGAGGCTGAGGCAAAGGCTCCCAGGGCCCGTCGCGACTTTGACGGATGAATTTCACAAATAACTTCAACTGCAGCAGCTTCTGCTTCTGCTTCTGCTTGGCCTCTCCTCTGCTCTTTTTTTGTTTGTTTAGTTTTGTAGTTCCTTGTGGCCGCTTGCGTTATTTATTGTACGAGTATTTGGCTTGGACTGGACCCACGGACACACCAATACCAATTTGGTATGGAGTGCAAGTCAGAGCCGAGCTGAAACTAAAGCTGGAGTCGGAGTTGGAGTTGGCGTTGACACAAAACCTTGTTGAGTTTCGGAACGCAACGAACCGCACGAATGACAGCAACGACAGCGTTGGATGTCCCCGTTGTGTCTAAGTTTGGTATGCGTCATTTTTACAAGGAAATTCCTTTGCTTTGCCTTTGACTCGGACTCGGACTCGGTCCGGGCTCGGACTCTGACTCTGACTCTTTGTCCTCCTGTTGTTGCCAGAGATTTTCCTCCGGCTGCCACAGCAGCTCTTGATAGTAATACCACAGCCAGCTCCTCCTTCATTCCCGATTTTGCTGCTAATTTATGTAAACACCGTAAGTACAGCCAGGGCAGGGCACTCCTAGCTACCGAAAGGCAGGTCCCGCTCCCTACCGTTCCCTGGGTCTGGGTCGGGCTCTCTCTCTCTCTCTCTCTCTCTCAATTAGAAACCATTGAGTACTCCTGAGCCGAGAGAATTCGCGAATTCTTGTCGGAAATTTTAAATTGAAATCGCAAAAAGCGTTCAGAAATGCAAAAATCTTCTTTCGAGCTGAAATTCCTCTTCTTGGCCATTGTCTCTGAGGGTACGGTCCTGGTTGAAAAGGTGTTGATTTAATGAGGCTGAGGGCCAGGACCAGGCAGGGTCTCCGAACAAAACCAACAGAAGGCGACAGTTGAAGCCTGTCTGTCCATCGTCCATCCATCGGACTCTGTTTTTTATGTGCCATTCGATGTGCCGCTGAGAGCTGAGTGAATCTGGAAGTCAGCCTGAAACTAAACTAAACAAAATGTGTGATTGACATTTCAGAGACTGTAAGATACTTCAGCGAGAGTGGATTCTGCTGCTTAAATGTGTGTTTCCTAGCTAATTGTACAACAGCAAATGAACGAGTCAGGGTATAACATGGGAATGCCTCACTCTATACTCTATAGGAAGATAATGTAGCTACCTTTCGCGCTGTATCTGTATCCCTGTATCCCTGTATCTCTCTCTCCCCCCCTCTCACCATTTTGGGTCTGCTGCAAAACGATGCTGCCTCGAGGACATAATGGAACCATTCATCGAGCCTGTAAAAGCCTGCCAGCCTCAAGCATATCCTGTTGCGCTCTTTTATGATTAATGGAACAGATTTTCACGCTTCCTTCCGCACTCACACACTCCCTTGCGCACGCACACACACAGATACACGCGCTCATCCGTTGAATGCCACTTAACTTTTTCAAGTGTAATGCATTAATGTGTGGCATCTTCCCTTGCTCCCCTGCCCAGCCGCCTGAATGGCAGCCAATGTCCCTGAAAGTGGCCCTTCTTCCCCCTCATAATTTTCACAATATTAAAAAAAAATGTTCTTTATATTTTTTTATTGGATTTTTCGGGTTTTATTTTCATTTGTTTGATTCGATTTTAAAATAGCTTTAATTACTTAAAATTAAGGGGGGAAGGAATGGGGGTATTGCAAAAGGGGGCATATAGAGGTTGGGAGGGGCAAACGAATCGCTAGGCTTTACCATTTTTTGCTTTGCCATTTACTAGATTAAAACTAATTAATTAAATGCTAGCACAAGATTTTTATGTTTTTGTTCCTTTCAGATTTTCTATGAATTCGATTTTTGTGTGTTTGCTGAAACGTATTTTTATTTGCTTTCACTTTTAAATTATTGTTTCTTTATCATTTAATAGTTTACAATGCAATCACACACACACACACACACACACACCGCACTCACAAATCGTATCTTACACATACTTATACACACATATAGACACACACAAACGTACACGCACTTTAAATGTTAAACTATCAATTAATTATGAATTAATTCTGGTTTTTGCTGTTGTTATAAATTAAACTAGAGTGAAACACACGCACTAATTACCGCTCATAAACTAAAACTAAAATTAATCCATAATTACAGCTACAGCAAACGAATCGAATCAAATCGTATCGAATATCATTTAAGAAATAGCATTCATATACCCATTTCCATTCCTATTAAAATGGAGAGATGGCAGATATTTCATCTGCCGAAAAATTAGATTGGCGATTCAATTGTGGTCTAGACAAAAAATGTACAATACAATACAATTCAAGTAGTCAGAAAATAGGGGATAAAAACTTGGTAGGCATGTAATATTATTATTGCACATTAAGTGAACGAAATGCTGCTCTCTCTAAGGCTGTGTAGGGGTCCTCTTCCCAGTGCAGTTTGGGGTCAAAGAAACAAGGTTACGGAACTACAAACAAACAAAAAATTAGTTGAGAGTATCGAGGGGAATTCTTCTTCTTGCATTTGAGATCTGATTTTACTGATTTTTGTTGCTCGTTATTTCGAATTATCTACACAAGAACAAAATATTTCGAAAGAAACTCTTAAGATCAACAGCTGATTTTTATTTTTATTTTTTTTTCATTTCATTTGATTTTTATTTACGATTTACTTTTTTATGCTTTTGTATTTTGTTGCTTTTGTTGCTCACTATATATAGCTTATGTTTTTGTTTTGCTTCATATATGTATGTATATGTAGATAGGTTTATACATAAGTTAATTTGCTAAATTAAACAAAATTAAAGGACACGTTTCATACTTGCTTCTGTGTTTTTTGTGTGTGTTTCTCTTGAGGAATGTTTTTTTTTAAGTTGTGTTTCTTTTTTTTTATAGATTTTGTATTTGTGTTTTTTTTTTTTGTATTTTAGATAGTAGCTAGACTAAATTTTAGAACGACTTTATTCACGTTGGTAAACATATTTATAGTAAAGTATTTTAAAATGTACAAAATTCTCGCTTTAGCTTTTAGGTTTTCCTCTCTTCTCTTGTTGGATTTTGTCAATAGTTTCATGGATATTTTACAGGTTGCTATCATGGTCTCTTTATTGGCTAAGATATTGTGTGATGCACTGCCCCGCCCACGCCGACGCCCACGCCACCGCCTAGCGCCCCGCTGGCATAGTCCTGCCGATGCTGCTGGAGCCCTAGTTGCAGCTGGTGTTGGTGCTGCTGCAGACTCAGATCTGGAAAGGATTGGTGGAGATGCGCCTGCTGCTGCTGCTGCTGGTGCTGCTGCTGCTGCTGGTGGTGATGATGCTGCATCCAGGCAGCCGAGGGCAGCGTGCTCGGATGCTGTTAGACCGCCGGCCAAACGCTGTGAATTGCACAAAGCAAAAAAAGGTAACAGAGGTGTTGGTTAGGCTTGTTCTCGAGTGTCTCTATAGGATATTATCTAAGGGAGAGATATCTGAGGTCTTTAAACTCACGTTAGTAATGATGGATTCGTCTCGGGCTGATACCAATACTGGGGCACGTAGCCACCCATTTGGGGTGGCGGGTTGTGGTGGTGCGACTGCGGATGATGTGGCGCTGCCGCCGCTGGATGAGGTGGCTGCGGCGTCATTTGCGGTGGCGGCTTGTGGTCGATCCAGTGGGGTTTCTGGTCCCACGGCGCTTGCGTTGGCGGACTGAGACCCGTTGGTGGGAATTCTAAAGGAGGCAAAAAAAAAACCGAGGATAAAGCCAAGTGGAGGGGGAGACATCAGGCAGGTGCCACTTACCAGGTGATAGCTCGGACACGGGCGTACTCGATGGCGTTGGACTGTGTCCGGGAGGTAGATAATGTGAGGGGGAGCCGCTGTTTGAGCCGCCGCCGTTATTACCGCCTGAAAGAACAGATGCAACAGGAGATGCTTTAGTTGCTGGTTCCCTTTGGGGGATTAGGTATCCGCTGACGACTCACCACTGTGCATTTGATTGGGACTATGCTGGCCAGGATTGGGCCCACCTCCGCCCAGAGGCATGCCACTGTTGGTGCCCGGACCCTGGGCGGCCTTCATCATCTTTTTGTACTTGGAACGGCGGTTCTGGAACCAGATTTTCACCTGCAACAGCAAAATAGCAAAAGAGTGTTGATCATTATGGGGCACGGCCAGGGGAATTGTCGCTAATTAAGTGGCGAGTGGTAAGTGTCGAAGTCAGCATGAGTCGCACTTTATTTGATCAGCGTGTGAATTGCGATAAATGCAAATGAAATTGTCTATGGCTAGTAGTTAGTACGAACTAATGCGGATCGACAGCATCCTTAGCCCGAGCAGAACCCGCGTAATAGATACAGCTAGAGTTACGGTCAGAGCCAAAGATACGGCCACAACTTTAGTAGATATATGTATGGCAAGGAAAGGGAAGGGTGGGGAGGGGAGGGGAAGGTGACTGCCTGTCTGCTTTTCAAACAGCTTTTCAGATACAATTAAGAGTGAATGGTCGTGAAAAGCAGCTGGCAGGAAAATGGCTCTATAAACTATAGTTTTTGGCAGCGTGCGATACACATAAAAGATACTTTTATACGAGTTACGAGATACGAGAGTCTAACACATGTCTTAATCGAATCTACATCATCATATGAGAAACTTGTATCTTTGTTGGGCAAAATGCAAAGCAGACACTTGAGCCAACAGCCAAAATGTAGCTCGCAGATACTTTCAGTTTTCATCATTGAGTGTCTCCAGCTCCAGCTCCAGCTCCCGCTCCAGCTGCGGCTGCTCGTAGAACTAATTGTGCGCTGAGCTGTGAGTCGCTGCCGAAGCACTTCACTTTTTTGAAAGCCAGCCCCAAAGATATCCCACAGCGAAGCTCTGCGCCCGAGTCGGAATCTGAATCTGTAGCTGACTGTGACTCAAGTAGAAGTATCTGGGGGGTGAGTGTGTTTAAATATAGATGCAGGCATCAGGCCACAACGACGCGTATCTAATGCTATTTATGCGCACTCTTAACTGTATCTGCAGCCTGCAATCTTGCATGGCGTCCGTCCACATTGTGCCACACTCTATACACATGTACATGTACCTGCATCTACTCGTACTCGTACTCGTACTCTATCTATATCTACATATGCATGCATGTATATAGATAGATACAGCTATATAAACTTGCCAGGCCAGACTTGCTCAAGGTCGTTCTTCGCGGTTGGTTGGATTTTTGTAGCGCCGCTCCAAGCTCAGCTCAGCTCAGCTTTTTTTTTTTTTTTCAACGTTTGGCAAATTTCACTTTGACTTGGTTCATGTTTTTGTTGCTGTTTTTTGTTTAGGTTTTTTTTTTGTTGCCCATAAAAACAGTTTGAGGAGATTCGGCTTTTATGTGCATTCCACTATGGGAGCGTGCCTGTGTATTTGTGCCTGGGCCATCGATTTCAATTAGCCGATAGCTACCAGAATTGACTGTTGTCTGATGTCTGTTGGGGGCTGAGCGTGGCTGTAGCTGAGGCTGAGGTAATCCATTGTCGGATCATTGACATTGGCATCCCCAGCCCCAGTGCCCGCCGCAGTCCCAGCCTAGTCGACGAACGGTAGCCGAAATCCACAAGTAAAATTTTCATTTCCATTTAATTTTAGTGCTCAATCAAGCGGTAAGCATTTTGTCAGTCTGGGCTTTGGGTTAGACAAACTTAGTGGAAAAACACATCAACGAGAGTCAGCTGCCTCTGTGTGTGTGCCCCAAGAAAGCCAAAGAAGAGCCTTGATCGCTGTTGCTTTGGCTAAGGCATGAACTTGGTAAGATATCATATACTAAACATTTAATAAGTACATGCTTATGTCTGTACCGCTACACAGATACGATAAACATACATACATACATATGTTATGTATGTGTAGCTGTTACGCAAGGGAGGCCAAGCGAAAAATCTGCGCTGAATGATCAAATGCTGTCGAGGTTCTCCTTGCTGCAACAGTCCCCAAAAACTGTGTGTACTCTCGGGTACAATATGGCCCCCAAAAAATGTGTCTATATTCAGTGCTATTTCTGGTTTTCTGTTCATCGTTTTGCGCTAAAACGAAGTTAAGCAAATGTCAAAACTAATGGCCAACAGCCTCTCAATTGTCAGCTTAAAAAAAAAATCCCAAAAAAAATATGCATACATCTATATAAATATAAATGGATATACAAACGAGATATACTACTCGTACATGAAATTTATCAACTCAACAAGTTCCCCTACGAAAAACGAAACACTGTGAGAAAAAATAGGGGAAGAAAAGGAGTTTGCATGAGAGTAAAAGTGTCTCTGGCAGATCTCAGACAGTCTGTCAAGTGTCAATCAGCCTTATGGTGTCCCCACCGTCTGGGTCTGTCTGTGTCTCTCTCTCTCCCTATCTCTGAATTTGTACCACTTTCATATGAACAAATATGGCAAAAAGCAGCAAGAAATTAGCATGTCACTGTGTCAACTTGAGGCAGCCAAAACAGCAGCAGCAGCAGCAAGCAGCAGCAGCAGACAACAGATCGAAGTCGTCTCTGTGGCATTATCCTTTTAACCCACTTCGAGCGGCTGGCTGGTCAGATGGTCAGACACTTGCTTGATCACTTCCGCAATATGTCACTTGCCATATAATTTATGCAGTCAAACGCAGAATTGATGGCTAGCTAGCCAAGAGTCTGACTCGGACTCGGAGTCGTAGTCGCAGCTCCAGCCCGAGACAGAGTCGGACCTCGAGTTGGAGGCAGATTACAGATGAGTTTTATGACGACGGGAACGCGCTTCTCCTTCAGCCGGTGTTTCGGCCACAGTTCCAGCCAAGTGGAAGTGGACTGTAAAATACGATGACGATCACAATGATGATGATGATGATGGAGCACAGATGATGCTGGGGCAAGGCGAAGAGTGGACACCACTTGGGGCTGCTGCTGCTGCCGCTGCCGGCTGCCTGTTGTGGGCTTTCTAATTGTGAACACTTGCCGTTCGAGCGATAAAACTTACTCACAAAAGATACAGATAGAAACATTGGGCAGGGGGAGGGGGGACACAGACAGAGACACACAGGGAGTGAGAGAGTGAGAGAGAGGTAGACACCTGCGTGGCTGCTAACTGGTTTCGTCGGGCATTGCCAAATGTGTCCCCAACCCCAGGCCAGGCACTCCACCCCTCTCGAGACAGCCTCTAATTCATTTGACAGTTGAGCATTTAAAACGTGGGAAACAGATAAGCCAATTGCTCAGAAAACTCTAATAACTTCATCTGGCCTCCATTCGGCTCCATCGATTGATTTGTGTGGGAGACCCGGCCGAAAAGGTTTTCCATTTCCATTTTCCTCGGAAATATTTCACAGCTTTTCCCTGATAAATCATCGCCCAACGAACTGCACGCCCCTTGCCAAGCCATAAATATGGGGGAACTCCTCACACATCCGAAAAAACGTACGACTTTATTTGCACTGCGCCAGCAAATAGAGAAGACAGCCAGAGCCCTGGACAGGGACTTGGACACGGATGCCTTGGCCTAATGACAGCCACAACGCCCCAAAAACCAACCATGGGATAATGTCTGCTGATACTCTCTGGCAGGAAAAGTGTAGTTTGGAATGGTGAAGCTCTTGGACTGCCTTCAGATACGAGCATTGCGGATCTCAGTACATCTTTGACCCAAGCTGAGATTTCTTTAGCCATGGATATAGTATATGTTGCAGCCTTGTCTTTTCCTGTACGAGTCCATCTTCCTCTCGTATTTTCAGACATTCTAGAGTATCTGTGGTTCTTTCCTGATGGCTTGCTCAAGCAAATACATTTCCACTGCGACCCGCGGTGGATGTCTGACTAAAAAGCAACAAAAATGTTTATAGCTTTTCCCGGCCAGCAGCAGCAGCAGCAGCAACAACAAAAGCAGCAAACACAGCAGTGGCAAGAGCAAATGGCGAGGCATGAAATGGTCTCAGTTTTGTTGCCACAAATTTATGGCTACCAAACAGAGTTTTCCCCTCATTGTTCTCAGCTTGTTGCTTGTTATGTTTGCTGATGTTGCCCCCGCTGTTGCCGTTGCTGCTGCTGCTGCTGCTGCTGCTTGGTTTTCATTCATAAATTCCGTGCAACAAGATTTTAGCATTTTTGCTGCACATTTTTGGTGCGAGAAATTTCAATTTGCTGGCCAAAGCGGTTAACATGAAAAACAATTTTCGGCGGCTTCTTTCAGCGGCAGCTTTGAATTACGGCCCGGCCAGGGGCATTGTCTTAGCCGTTGATTAATGGGCTGCAGGCGGATTAGTCGGTACACTGATTCACCGATTCCCCGATTATCGATTCCCCATCAGCAGGCGCCAATTGTACACAGCAGATTCAACTTCTTTCCGGACTTGAAAGTTCCATCCCGCTCACGCCCTGCTAGATGTGTTAGATGACCAGCCTGCGATCACTTTCGTTTAACTTCTGGCTCTACCTGCTCTCCGCCTGCCTCTCTATTAACTTTAATGGCCAACAACTTTCCTCTGAGACGCTTCCAGCACGCGCCATCTGGCCAAACGGTTGTAATCGCACTGCAATCGCCAGCAAAACGCGCGCAACTCGCGCGGCAGTTTTTAATTTATGCAAAAAAAAAAGAGCTACGAAAAAAAATCACGAAAATCATAAAAATTCAAATAGCAGATAGAGCGTGTGTGTGTGTGTGTGAGTAAGTGAGTGAGAGGAAGTGAGTAACAGAAAGAGATAGAGCGAGAGAGAGAAGGGTAAAAATCTGCTGGGCGTGAGGGAGTCGGGGCTGCGCGAAAATAAAATAAAAATTTTGATTTATGATCTTGTCGCTGAAGTTGTTCGTCAACAGCCAGAGACGGCAGGTAGCCGTTGTTGTTGTTGTAGTTGAAGTAACATTTTTGTTGTTGTTGGTGAATTTTGTTGCTGTTGTTATTGTTGTAATTTTAGTGGTTTTAGTTGCATTTCTTTATTGTAATTCTTTTTTAGTTTAAATAGTGTTGAGTCTGCTGTTGTTGTTGGTGAATCTACTGTCTTTGTTGGTGCTGAAACTGCTATTATTGTAGTTGTTCAATCGACTGTTGTAGTTTTTTTTGTAAGTCGTTGAAGCTGCCCATACAAGTTTGTTGGCGCAACAAGTGCTTTCGGGCAG